CTCGTCAGTGAACAACGGCTCTGTGTAGTTAATGCTGCTCAATGTGAAAGCACGCAGGTGATGGAGATTTACCGCTGATTACAGAACCGTCTTTACTGACAAGATGCGCGTTAAATATCGCATGCGATTAATCGTGCAGCCCTAATTTATGTGATGTACTTTTTACAAAATAATCTGTATTGTCAGGATTTATTACAATATTTCTAAATAATAATAATAATAAAACTGCTGATTTTGAGTGTAAAACTGTTTAACAAAATTAAAATACATTCTTTTTTCATCAACAAAAAAACAAAACATTAATTTGTAAAAAAAAAAATTACATTAATTTGTAGGATCATTTTCTGCTTACACCAAAACAATATTGAACTGTCATTTAAAATTATTTGTATACATAATTTGAGAATTCTGAAAAGTTTTAACAAGCATAACATTTCAAAAGTTTGGGGCAGCAAGTGTTTGTTTAGTTTTTTTTAAAGAAATTAATACTTTTATCAGCAAGGATGCATTAAATTGATCAAGAGTGACATTAAAGTTATTTTAAATTGTAATAATATTTCAATAATATATTTCATAATATTCAAATAAATGCAGCCTTGGCAAGCATGAGAGACTTATTTCAAAAATATTACAAACCTACATTTTCACATAAAATAAACATAAAAAATGCTTATGTTAAATTGTTTATGCTATGTACAGAAAAGTCTATGCATAATCAGTGCTGATGAAGTAATAACCTTAAATGAAATGTTCCTCCACATCACATTCTCACATATTTATAGTGAGGATTTTATCACTATGGCTTTTCTTAACTCGAGGGGTTTCTTGCGACTGGTTTCTGGACTTTACTATGGCTCACGTCCCAAAATCCAATCTCTCAGAAAAATAACAGCACACTTCTACTCTCTTTTCTCAAATCCCCTTACACATAATGTAATGAGTAATAATAAGTGTGATGTGACGTTCGTTACTCCAGGCTTTAGTGCAGCTGTGATCTCTAGAGCGCTGCGCCTGCTGTGGGACCAAAAACACACACTGTCAGTTTGAGGAAACATGCGAGCGGGTGATCAGAGGACGGAATACAGGTCTGCTGCTGATCTTCTGAGAAACAGACACAGTCAAACCCTAAAACAGGACACATGCAGACTTCTCAACAGCAAAGATCAGCCGAAAAAATGTGATGACTCCAGACCCGACGAGACGATGGAAACATTCAGCCTGTGGGGTTTCACTCCTGCACACTGTTACATGTGACATTTTAAGCATTGTAAACTAAAAGACAAGCCAGACGTTATAATACACTGAGACAAAACATCTGAGAGGAAGCATTTTAATATAAAGGTACCTTTCTTTGAATAGGGCCAACTTGGTTTAGGATGAACCTGATATCTACTGGAATAGTCAAGCTGTTAGCAAGCAGGACTGACAAGTCAGATGTTTAGTCTGTTAAAAGGACAGTTCACCCAAAAACAACAATTCTGTCCTCATTTACACACCCTCATGTCATTACAAACCTGTATGAGTTTCTTTCTTCAACTGAACCCAAATGAAGATATTCTGAAGAATGTCGGTAACCAAACAGTTGACGGTAGCCATTGACTTCCATAGTATTATTTTTTTTTCCATACAATGGAAGTCAATGGCTACCACCAGCATCTGTTTGGTTACCGACATTCTTCAAAATATCTTCTTTTGTGTTCGACAGAACATAACATACAGGATTGGAACAACATGAGGGTGAGTAAATAGGGCCTTACGCACCGCGGGAACCTTTTCATAGTACCAGAACTAATTGTGGAACTACCCACTTATTTGGCGTTTTTGCACCGCCGGAACTGGGTGTTTTTTTAGTACCGGACTGCCTTTTTCGAGAACCAAATTAGCTCCTACTCCAGAGCAGGGTCTAACCAGCACAACTGGTACTAATCGTGACGTAAGTAGACATTGATTGGCCAAACGTGTACGAAAACACCCTCACCTGCCATGATTTAAAAACGCCGTGTAAACATACTGTAAACACTGTGTCAACTTATTTCGCAAGTATGGAGAACAGCGATAGATGGACGGACGCTGAAGTGCAGGCGCTTGTAGCAAATGTAGCACTGCCAGTTGTCATTGGAGATTCTTAGTCCTCCTTTCCGTTCTTTCAATCGCTTTACGTATACGTCGACATTCCATGTCCATTATTGTGAAACCCGCGAGACACAACAAAAACACAGCTCCGATCACAGCGTCCTCCATCCTCCTGCTGTTAACGTTGTTTTTCTGTTTCCGTTGTTGAACGCCGCGCACAAATGACGTCGCTGTCGACTGGCTTACGTCACTTCCTAGTACACACTGTCGGTGCGAATGCAACCTTTTAAATGGTACTGGGAAATAGTTCATGCAAAATCGCCCCAGTACTTTAGTACTGTACATTTAGTTCTGGAACTAAAATGGTGCGAAAGGCACTAATGATACTTTCACTTTTGGGTGAACTATCCCTTTAACTTTTTTTTTTTAAAAGGTGCACATCGCTGTTATTCCCTCAAAACATTTTATACAGCTAAATGAGCATTTTATCTAGTTCTATTTGATGCATAAAGGTGTGATTACATTTACAGTTGCTCTGAAAAAGTATCCAGATATTTCAACAGGAATCCACACTTTCCGGAGTTTCATGTTGCAAGGCAGAGAAAGTTCATGCAAATTTGTTTAACCTTTAACTAGCAGAAAGTGTCTTGGTTTAAATGTGACTTTCTCGTCTCTACACTACACTATCGACAATGGAAAATGTAATTTTTTTTTTGCAAAGTATCACTAATGTGGTGATACTGACTTTGCTTTCAAATTGTTCATTGAAAATGTTTAGAAGCATCCAGACCACTAGGAGTCCAAGATGCCTGCCATATCGGCCAGACAAGTACACTCTCCTGGCGATTTATTTACTTATTTATCTATTTATTTAACATTTTGGCAAGTGGTGGCTAATTTGTATGAATTCATACAATCTCTTTCATACAGTTTCCAAAAAGGATCCAAAAGATTAAAGCCAAAGAATATGTGATCTTTCTCGGTGAGTGTTGTGTTTTGGATCGTTTTTATAACAGTGTTATAAATGCGTTCCACACACACTTGTGGTCTTCGTGTCCACTTGAACACTTGGGCCAAAAACAGGAAATGCGTCATGCAAGTGGTCAAGTGCAAAGACCGCAAGTGTGGGTATTGGGCATAGTTCAAAGAAAACATTTGTAGTGCCTCCCTGCCAGAGAAACTTCTGCTGGGTCTCAGTAGGTCAAAGGTTACTCCATGTTCAGCACTAGATGGCAGCACAGTGCCGTCAGCCCACATGAAGGAAGTACATGGTCACTCTTAGCAAATACAAAGTCAGACCACCACAGCCCTCGTCCAATCAAAGCACAGCTTTGCCAAACTAACTTCTGACATACAAAATACAACTTGTGGGGAGATCACCTCACATGTACATTCATAACAACAGACAGCATGACCAGTAATATATCCACTAAATTATAAGATTAAAGGGATTACAGCTGTCGCAGATATAACAAAGAAAAGCAAAAACAGCAGTGCTCTGGAAAGATAGATGAGATACGAACATGGAGAAGTGTGTAATAAACGTCCCAGTACAGCTGATTGCAGTTAAGAGCCTCAGGCTAGTACAGTTGAAACTATAGACAGACAGAAATAACCAACGCCCTTTCCGTTTACAGAAGCATCATCCCTTCCAGTGAAAGCACATGTCTGAAAACGGAGGAAACACAACAACCAAGGCGTTTTCAACCTCCATAGATAGCCTACAAGGCCCTCAAAAACTTTCAGCCAACACAGGGACCTCCAGAATCAAAAAACGTTACACTTTATAAGAGCTTTCATTAAGAACATTAATTATTAACAGATTATTCAAGAGTTGGAAATCAGTTAATAGGTAGAAAGGTCACCCATGTCTATATATACATATTCTCCAAAAGAGCCTCTGGAGACTTTCAGTGGACCCTAGTTGAGAAAAAAGCTAAAGCTCACCTAGCTACGAAAATTCTGTCACCATCTACTTCTACGCTCAAAAAACACTTCGAAAACAAAACCAGTTATTATACAGAACGTCCACGGTGCTCTTTTTCAGACAACTAAAGTGGATGTCAAGCCCCATAAGTTTAGCTCCATATGACTTGTGTGACACATCTTCAGATAGCCTTGTGTCAGGAACAAACCCATATTTAAGTTATTAACTGGAAAACTGTCCTGGTTCTTCATTCTCGTTAACTTGAGGCTGAGTAGCTGACGACAGACATTATTTGTGGGTGACCTGTAGCTTTAAGGGCTGATAAGGTGCCCTAGAAGAACCAGCAGCCCTGTGACAAGCGGCTTCTTCATTACTGGTTTGGTCGCTGTGAGCTTAAGGCGAACGAACTGGTGCAATAAGCACAATGCTCTATGAAAAGAGAAAACGAGATCTGAATGTGTCCATCAGTCAGTGTGCAGATATCGCGCCGCCGCACCCTCCTCCTCCTCCTTCGGGATGAATGGACACTTTGTTCAGATCCAGCTCTCGAGCGCACGTAGTGATACAATGTAACGCCCGCTGCTGTTTAAACGCGGAGTTTATGTCTGTGTCTGTATGAGACGCGTGAAGAGCTAGATCTCATAGCAGGCAGATTGACGCCACATACCTCCTCTTCGGCACCGGTGTCGCGCTGCTCGGGTTGGATCGGGACGTCTCGGCTTTACACTCCTGCGCAGCGACGCTCGGGTGTTCATCTTCTGGCCGTTTCTGCAAATGTCCGGCTATGATCCTGAGTCTCTGCTGTGCGGTGCTGCTGCTGTTTGACGCCATGCTGCTTCCGTGTTTGCTGTCAGAGGTCAGCGTGCGGCTGATGATGGAGGGATGTGAGGTGGAGATTACACCCGCGTCCCGTCATGCACCGCGCTCCGCTCCGGTGCGCCACTACTGCTGACTGGAATACTGAAGATTAACCCTGAATCATGCAATTTAGTAAATATTTCTTTTTCAGTATCGGCCACTTTATCTCTAATAACACCAACAAAATCATTTTTTTCTTCTCTCTATTAAACAAGCTACATCTTTATGTTCATTTTTATTTCTATTATTTTCATAGTTTGTTTTCATATTTTGAGTCATTCTAAAATTCTACCATAATAATAGAATAATGAACTCGTCAAAAATATGAAATAGCAAATTTATATATTTTTGTTTGTTTGTTTGTGTGTGTGTGTGTACCTGGTATTTATCACGTTATGGGGACCAAATGTCCCCACAAGGATAGTAATACTAGTAAATGTTGACCTTGTGGGGACATTTTTGAGGTCCCCATGAGGAAACAAGCTTATAAATCATACAGAATGAGTTTTTTTGAGAAAGTAAAAATGCACAAAGTTTCCTGTAAGGGGTAGGTTTAGGGGTAGTGTTGGTGTAGGGCAATAGCACATACAGTTTGTACAGTATAAAAACCATTACGCCTATGGAATGTCCCCATAAAACATGGAAACACAACATGTATATGTGTGTATATGTGTGTGTGTGTGTGTGTGTGCAGTCTGCAGTGCTGGCTAGTAATTGACTATATGATCTGGCAATCGGGTTACAAACGTTAATTAGTTGTAATTAGATTACATTACATTACATTTTATAATGTTATGAATTATGATTAGATATTATTCACATAGTGGATTGCAATTATTCATAATTGATTCTCCCTAAATTCTCATTTGCATTTTTCTCTCCTACTGCTTGGTATATACTTTTGGAATTTGGCAAAATCATTACTGTGCAGTATAAACTCTACATTCACTGCAAAAGATTAAACAGCAAATCTAAAAAAAATAATAATAATAATTGAGTTTCTTATGCTTGTTGTTTCATCCTTGCTTATCTAACCCACTTCTGACAAACACATTTTAATTATTATTTCAGTAATCACTTAGTGAGTCATTTAATGTGTTATATGTCTTTGGAAAGCTTTACATAGTGTAATGTTTAAAGCACAATATATTTTCTTTTTTTTCCTTTTTTTTATTACTTTATATCAATATAGTACAAAATAATCCTATTCAAATCGATGTGTGATAAACGATGTCAAAAGTAATCAATACTAATCAAAAAGTAGCCAGAATAGATTCTAAACAGCAGTTCCCTTTCAAGGGAACTTCGAACTGCGTCCTCTAGGGGTCGCTATGGGGGAACGCCATGTCGTGACCCGTGTCTGAAGCATACATTGAAAACACCAACAACATGTTGGCTGGCGACAGCCCATGACATCACTACCGGTGCGATTATAGTATAAATAGGCGCCGGGAGAACATGTCATTCTCTTCTTTGTCTTCACTGACCGTTTTGTTTGAAGCGTGCATTTCCGTGGTAAGAGCGATCTATATTTCTATCGTTATGGCGAGCGCTAGCAAAGCGTTTAGAGGGTGTGTGCATCCGCGTCATCGTTATTTGACACCTGATGACACACCCGATCTCTGCCTTGTTTGTTTGGGCAAAGAGCATGCACGTGATGTCCTTGAGGGGGCAATCCACGTTCATTGCGAGCTTATTTTAATGAAAAGCTCTGCTCTCGTTCGTCTCTCTTTTCGAGGAAAGGGGGGGCAGCCATCTGCTTCCCGCGGCTCAGGACCCGCCGCTGCTGAGGCATGGAGGAGGGTGGGCTCGTGGGGATCACAGGTGGATCCGGCTGATGAGTTTAAAAAGGGGTTTTCCCTCTCGCGCTCGTCGGCTGTGGACGAGAGTAAGCCGCTGGAGGATGATGTTATTTCTTTAACATCGTTTGATCCGGGGGCCGGTGCTCTGCTGGGTTCGGCCCGGTAAGAGCAGGAGATGTCTGAGGACTGCGAAGAAGCTGAGGCTGAGCCTTCCCAATCCTCCTGCTCTGAGTATGGTGAGTTTTGAGCGTTATCTTTCTTACGCATTCATCGATTCTAGCATACAAGTTATGCCAACATCGAGGCGATGCGCGGAAACGACTATGAGAGGATGCCCCTGTAAAAAAGACGACTGGCTAATTATCTTTCTATGGGTGAGACGTCATCTCTTAAAACTCCCTCCTTGCCATCTCGCTTAGATGGCAGGGCATACGCAGCAGCAGGTCAGGCTGTTGCTTCGTTGCGCACAATGCGGTGCTCCAGGCATATTAGGCTGACCTGCTGGAAGACCTGGATAAAGGCCTGATGAGGTAGCGGAGTTTCGCCACGCCACAGATCTCACTCTCTGTGCTACTGAGCATGGCAGCTATAGTAGGTATTGAGAGACATCTGTGGATGAACCTGGCAGATATCGGGATGGAAGAGAGGGGCTTTCTTCTCGATGCGCCGGTTTCACCTTCCGAATATTTGGTACCTCCGTTGAGACGGTGGTCGAGAAGTTCAGGGAGGCAAAGGCGCGCTCAGCGGCCTTCAGTCCTTAATTTCACGATGGTCCAGGTCTCAGCCCGAATAACATAGGGGTCCTGGTCCGTCTCGGTCTGAGGATCAGAGACGGCCACAGAAGGCTAGTGTCGCAGCTCGCG